TCATTCTTCTTCTTCTTCTTTTCATTCTTCCTCTGCTTCTTCTTCTTTTTCATTCTTCTTTTCATTCTTCTTTTCATTCTTCTTCTCATTTTTTTTTTCATTCTTCTTCTTCTTCTTTTCATTCTTCTTCTTCTTTTCATTCTTCTTTTTTTATTCTTCTTCTTCTTCTTTTCATTCTTCTTCTTCTTCTTTTCATTCTTCTTTTCATTCTTCTTCTTCTTCTTTTCATTCTTCTTCTTCTTCTTTTCATTCTTCTTTTCATTCTTCTTCTTCTTCTTCTTCTTCTTCTTCTTCTTCTTCGTCGTGCCTCGTGACTGCCCAAATGAGTGAAGTGTGCGGTGATTCTAAGATCGACGGCACTCATCTGCATGTCATACTGACTGACAGTATTATTTCTCTTCCCCAGCAGACTCCAAGGGCATTTAAATTAAAGGTACAGTGTTCTGCACTAATATAAAGGCTCTCTGAAGCCTAGAAACCCTTTTAAATAAGTTAAATTCGCAGCGAATAAATTCGCATCGAATCAAATTTCTCCCGCAAATTCGGCGAATCAGCCGAATCGAATTTTTGAATAATTCGCTCATCTCTAGTTCTGATCTCTCCCCATTTACCGTGATGATTGCAGTGGGCTCCCTATATAATTTACTTATCCACTCACGCATTCTATCACCTATCCCCAGCACTTTTAAGTTGTCCATCATAAAGCCCCAGTCCACTCTATCAAATGCCTTCTCTGCATCAATTGACAAGAGCACCTCCGGGGCTTTCCCTTTTCTACTTTTCTGAATAAGCATCAGGGTTCTCAAGCCGTTATCTCTACCTTCTCTCCCTGGTACAAAGCCCACTTGGTCTCCATGGATCCATTCAGGCATTAGATCTTTCAACCTGTTTGCTAACACCTTTGCATACAGTTTAGTATCTGTGTTCAATAATGAGATAGGTCTATAGCTGGAGCACTGAGATGGATCTTTTCCCTCCTTGTGAATAAGTACTACATGGGCCTGTAGGGATTCTCTCCTCACTTCCATCCCACCTCCCAGAGCATTCATATATTTCTCCAACTTGGGTAGCAGTACTTCACTAAATTTCTTATAGTACTTAACTGTATAGCCATCCGGGCCTGGGCTTTCCCCCCCCCGTGCTTCTTAATGCTGTTTTTTAATTTCTTCCTGGGAAATTTCTGCGTCTAAGGAGTTCAACTGTACTTCACTTAGTTTTGGTAATCCCGCATTTTTTAAGTATATCATCTTTTTTTCATTACTTCCCTCTTGAGCTTCTTTTAGCGGACCTTGGGGACTAATATTATATAACTTTTTGTAATACTCCGTAAACACTTTAATAATCTCTTTAGTTGAGTGGACCAACTCTCCCCTTTGAACTTTTTATCTTTTCTATATAGTTCCTATTTTTCTTTTTATTCAAAGCTCTCATTAGATATCTTCCTGGTCTGTCTCCCCATCTATATCTCTCGTTCAAAACCCTGTTGTATACTCTTCTCTTCTCCTCATCCATCAACGTCTCTAGCTCATCTTTTTTGTCCAATAACTTCTGTCTCGTATCTTTTGTTATTTTCTTCTTATGGACCTGCTCCAAGTCCAATATTTCTTTTAAAAGCCCACTGACCCTCTCTCTTCTTTCCTTTTTCTTCCTTGCTCCTGCCGCAATCAAGATTCCTCTTATGAATACCTTGTGGCTTTCCCAGACTGTAGCTATCGATACTTCCTCTGTTTCGTTCTCCCTAAAGTACACCTCAATCTCTTTCTCGATCTTCCGAGCTAAATCCTCATCCAGAAGAAGAGCCCCATTCAACCTCCATCCCAATCCTCCAGTCCACCTTCTTCCCCATCCCATTTTCATTACGACCGGGGCATGATCCGAGAACGTCCTTATCTCTATGTCAACTTTAACCAGATGATCTATAAGTTGATGGTCTATTAAGATGTAATCTAATCTCGAGTATATCTCATGTGCATTAGAAAAGAAGGTATAGTCTCTGTCTTTCATATGCCTTATTCTCCAGATGTCCACTAGTTGATATTCATGCATCACTTTTTTCAAAGCTCTCAGAGACCTACTCCCCTCTCTTTGCACGGAAGAGGTATTATCCTTTTGTGGGTCCATACAGAAATTTAGGTCTCCTGCTACTATCAAGTGCCCTTTTTTGAATTCCATTAATTTTTTCAACAGACCCTTCATATACATCTCCGGGTTTTTATTAGGGCAGTATATATTGGCTAAAGTACACTCAATCCCCTGAAGTCTACCTTTTAAGAATAAAAACCTCCCCTCCGGGTCGGTTCTTCTATCCTCCAGCTCAAATCTCATATTCTTTGCCAAGCCTATTGCAACCCCTTTTGCTCTTTTAATTGGAGAATCTGCATAATACCATGTTGGGTAGTGTTTGGATTTCAATTTCACGTTTGCCTCTATCTCAAAATGCGTCTCCTGCAAAAAACACCACTGATGCAGCCCTATGATGTAACTCATTAAACAACCTAAATCTCTTCCCTGGACAACTCAGCCCGTTCACATTATAGGTTATAAACTGTATTTCTCCCATCTTTCCCAATTAACTCCATCTCTCTTCCAAATTGCCTCTTCCTCTTTATCCCTTCTGTCATGCAGAGTGTTGACCCAATACCTCCTCCTCCCCTCCCTCCCTCCCACCCAACTCCCGTCCCCCCTCCCTCCCTCCCATTCTCCCAACCCACCCCCCCTCCCTCCCCCCCCTCCAACCCCCTCCCTCCCTCCCCCCCCCTCCCCTCCCCCCTCTTTTTAGGCCTAACATTTGCCTACTAATCATTTATGGATTATAAAGTCCACTTTTGATTTGATCCTTGGGCTAAGACTCCGTCCATGGACGACTTTCCCCTTGTCTAACCTCCCCATTATCCCCCAGCCCCTCCCAGATTTATCATAGGCACAGAAAAGAAAAACGAGGGCAATAGGGTGGGGATAGAAAAAGATAAAGGAGACCTATTTCTCTTCCTCCATCCCTCTCCCCCTCTCCTCTCCCCTCCATCTCCTCCCCCCCAACATATTGCCAGTCCTCTTTTCTCTTCATTCTATTTTCCCATTGTTCTTCTTCCCAGCCAGGAATTTCCATTCTTTGGATTTTTAAACTGTCACAGAAATTTTTCAAATCTTCTGGAAAAACCTGAGGTATGCTGTAGTCCCATTTTTCCATCCTATTAGGCATTCGGGAGTCCCCCATCTATATTGCACATTTTGTTCTTTCAACCTTTCCAATAGGGGTCTCAAAGTTCTCCTTCTCCACAAAGTCTCTGGAGCCAGATCCACATATATCTGTATATCTCCTCCTTCATAATTGATTACTGATTTTCCCTTGGACTTCTTCCAGATTTTTTCTTTATCCCGAAGTTCATAGAATTTAGCTATTATATCTCTCGGCCTTTCTTTCCCCAGATTTCTCAGAGATTTTCCTTTTATTTTAGACCCTTCCATTTCAGAGCTGTCTGTTATAGTGTTAAATATTTTATAAACCACCTCTTGCAGATTTTCTCCCTTTGAGTTTTCTGGGACCCCACGTAGCAAGATGTTCCTCTTCCTGTCTTTATTTTCTTGTATCTCAACCTTATATAGCAGTTTTTCTTGGGCTTTCCCTATATTAGTTAGTTCTTTTTCAAGTTCAGAGATAGCCTGGGTCTGACCTTTAACTTTTTCCTCCGTTTCCTCAACTCTCTCCAACAGGTGTCCCAGATCACTGCGAATATTTACCATTTCTTGTTTAATTGTTTTCTCCAGTTCTTTAAACATTTCTGCCATTTCTTTTTTATTAGGTATTTGTAGATCTTTTTCCATCTCTATATTGCCTGGTATTTGCTGATTACTAGTATCAAGGCCTAATGATACTCTAGGACTTCTTTCCATACTAAGATCTGCTTCACATTTTTCAGTCCTGCTCTGGGGTCTTTCTGGGGTTACGTTTCCTTGGGATGTATATTTTTTAATTGTACCAGTCTGGGACCCTTTAAGCCCACTTCCTTTTACGTTTTTATTTTTCATTTTTCTCTATGGCACTTATCCTTCTTATAGTCCTTTATAAATTCGTGGGTAGGGAGGGGAAATAGTTCTTTAAACTTTCAAGTCTCTGCCCTCTCCCCCTGCTGGTTTTCCTTTTTCTCCTTTTTTCCTCTTCTTCCTTCCCTCCTCTCCCCCTCCTTCCCCTTAAGCCTCTCTTCTTCTCTCTGGGAGTCTCTTCCACCTTTTGAACATTCTCCAGGGGTCCCCCCTTTCACTTACACTCTATTTCTTGGAGGTCAGCACAATAGTTCTTCAAAAACAAGTCACAGTTCATTCATAATCACTCACCCTCCTCCTATGTCCTCTTCCAGTGAGTGCCTTCTCGCTCAGTTCCTCTGAGGGTCCATTCATGGGGGGGAACTCCCCAGGGTCTCTTCAGACTGCTTGTCCAGGTCTCAGTAGTTCTCCTTGCAATTTCTTTTAGGCTCAAGAGGTACTAGGGGGATAGGGGGAGAATGTGTCGGCCAACGGCAAACAGGTCGGCGTTGCTCTCTCACTGCAAAACGCCGGCTGGCCGGCTTCCCGATCTCCCAGTGATGCTTTGCGGCCGGTCACGTGATCGCACCGGCCCCTTTCGTCTCCCAGGGTCCAGGGACTCTCTCTCTGCCAGTCTCCAGCCGCTCCTCTCTCTCCCCTCGCCTGCATCAAACTCTCCTCCACCGGGAGCCGTCAGGCCTGGTAAGTCCCACACCGCTGGGCTCTAACATGCCTCAGGGGCTAGGCTTGGAGGCTTGGGGAGGTCAGACAGCGGAGCTCCGTCCACGAGCTCCTACATTGAGCTCTCCCCTGCCGCCATGTTCAGGCCCCGCCGTCACGGATGGACTTATTGCACAGGTGGCCACCTATCACGGGACCACGCTTGGAGTCACTGAGCTCCTGAGAGCGACCCATTCTTTCACCAATGTTTGTAGAAGCAGTCTGCATGCCTAGGGGCTTGATTGTATACACCTATGTCCATGGAGGGGATTGGAACACCTGAATCACATGATTTGGAGGGGATTGGAACACCTGAATCACATGATTTGGAGGGGATTGGAGCACCTGAATCACATGATTTGGAGGGGATTGGAACACCTGAATCACATGATTTGGAGGGGATTGGAGCACCTGAATCACATGATTTGGAGGGGATTGGAGCACCTGAATCACATGATTTGGAGGGGATTAAAACACCTGAATCACATGATTTGGAGGGGATTGGAACACCTGAATCACATGATTTGGAGGGCGGGGACAATACGTTTGGCAATATAGTGTATATATATCTTAATTGAAGTCAACAGTTAAAAACAGACAGTGGTTATAACATATCCCTCACTTAATAACAAAAAGATTTTGCCTGGAGTTGGTCTTTACGTTATTCCTTACCTATGACACATATTATGTATTCTTTATCCTATATAACACACTAACCAATCACAATGTTTTCTTGAGTTTATGATGTTTCATTGTGCAGTGGGTGCAGAAAGAATCAGACATTATAAAATATTTTTTTTTTTTCTCTAAATATATATTGTGGAACAGTGCATATTGTACCTGATTGATGTACTGTTTATGATTGGGAAAATGTTAACAATGGAACTACTATATAAATCTCACATATAATTGTATCACTGTAATAAAACATGAACACACTTATGAAAGCCACTTTTGTTGGTCCAGAATCTTTTTTATTCTATTGTGAAGGTGTGTATATGTTTTTTAAATTTTGCTTTGAACGAGTAAACAAGAAGTACAAATACAGAAAGAGATCGAACGGGTCTATTTGTGAAGGATGTTCTGGGAAATTCACCCACATGATATTCAACAACATTCAGCTGGCATGCTAGAGTCACATTCATCCTGTGTATAAGGGAATAAATGACCCTGCTTATAGCACCATACTGCCATGCCTCCTTCACCTTGGGTGTGGGCCCTTCAATGGCTCATTCCAGCCAACCAATCACAGATTAGAGAGTAGCAATGCACAGACCCTTCCTTGTGACACTTTTCACTCCCTGTTGAGCTCTACGAAAGTTCCATTGGGTGTGAAATGGGCCAGAATTAGTGGCATCAATCAATACACTGAGATCAGAATTCAAAATGCAGCTGCTACTTATCTATTATAATAGGATGAATACGCAGCAGAGAAATGTAGCAGCTGGGCACGTGCAATTTGTGGCATTAAGAATCTAAATTTAAACAAAATTTTTGTTATTCTGAGATTCGGATGTACAGGTGAAACTCGAAAAATTAGAATATGGTGCAAAAGTTCATTTATTTCAGTAATGCAACTTAAAAGGTGAAACTAATATATGAGATAGACTCATTACATGCAAAGCAGGATAGTTCAAGCCGTGATTTGTCATCATTGTGATGATTATGGCTTACAGCTCATGAAAACCCACAATCTCAGAAAATGAGAATATTCCATGCAATCAATAAAACAAGGATTGTACATAGAACAAGATCGGACCTCTGAAAAGTAGAAGCATGCATATGTACTCAGTACTTGGTTTGGGCCCCTTTTGCAGCAATTACTGCCTCAAAGCGGCGTGGCATGGAAGCTATCAGCCTGTGGCACTGCTGAGGTGTTATGGAAGACCAGGATGCTTCAATAGCGGCCTTCAGCTCTTCTGCATTGTTCGGTCTCATGTCTCTCATCTTTCTCTTGGAAATGCCCCATAGATTCTCTATGGGGTTCAGGTCAGGCGAGTTTGCTGGCCAATCAAGCACAGTAATCCCACGGTCATTGAACCAGGTTTTGGTGCTTTTGGCAGTGTGGGCAGGTGCCAAGTCCTGCTGGAAAATGAATTCAGCATCCCCATAAAGCTCGTCTGCGGAAGGAAGCATGAAGTGCTCCAAAATCTCCTGGTAGACGGCTGTGTTGACCCTGGACTTAATGAAGCACAGTGGGCCAACACCAGCAGATGACATGGCTCCCCAAATCAACTGTCAAGGTCCTACCTTTTCCCTGTGGTTATGTTACTTCATGTGCTGGTGTCCATCTTGGATTCTGCTGTGCATGATGGGAGCCCTTTTATGCCTTCAGGTTTCTGTGGTCCATCCTCCAGAGGGGTGTGGCTGATGACATATAAGCCTGTGGCCCGCACATGCTCTTTGCACTTGTGTCTTGTGTCTTTGTGTTGCAGTTACTCTGTTCTGACTCTCGTGACTCTCCTGGTATCTTATTCGGCTTGTCTTGACTATTCTTTGTATTCTCCTTTGATCTGACCCTCTGTTGCTGAACCCGGCTCGTGACCTGTGATTCTCGTCTGCTGTCCTGTACTGTTCTGTCCTGTTGTTGTTGACCCCGGCTTGTCTGACTACTCTTTTGTCTCTTCCACCAGCTACACGCCATTGGCGGCGGCCATTACCGCAGCTGAGGTGTCTCGGGGGCCGCGACCTGGTTCCTGGCTGCGTCAAGTCCATCCCCACCATCAGGGGCCCTGGTGAAGGGCAGCCTGGGACTTAGACTCCGCGCCCTGAGGGACTTTGGTCTGTGGGTGGTGGTTGTCGTCAGCCAGTGCGTTACATTGTTAGGCCTGCCTGTCCGTTCCTCAGCTCCTGCCCTGACATCAACACAGACTGTGGAAACTTCACACTGGACTTCAAGCATCTTGCAGTGTGTGCCTCTCCATTCTTCCTCCATACTCGGGGTCCTTGGGCCTCTCCATTCTTCCTCCATACTCGGGGTCCTTGGGCCTCTCCATTCTTCCTCCATACTCGGGGTCCTTGGTTTCCAAATGAGATGCAAAAGTTGCTCTCATCAGAAAAGAGGACTTTGGAACACTGAGCAGCAGACCAGGTTTGTTTTTCTTTAGCCCAGTTAAGACGCTCCTGACGTTGTTTGTTGTTCAGGAGCGGCTTGACAAGAGGAATACGACATTTGATGCACTGGCTCCAGCCTCAGTCCACTCCTTGTGAAAGTCCCCAACACTTTTGAATGGCCTTTTCCTGACAATCCTCTCCAGGCTGCGGTCATCCCTGCTGCTTGTGCACCTTTTTCTTCCACACTTTTCCCTTACACATAACTTTCTATTAATATGCTTTGATACAGCACTTTGGGAACATCCAACTTGTTTTGCAATTACCTTTTGAGGCTTTCCCTCCTTATGGAGGGTGTCAGTGATGGTGTCAGGTCAGCAGTCTTTCCCATGATTGTGATTCCTACTGAACCAGACTGAGAGACCATTTAAAGGCTCAGGAACCCTTTGCAGGTGTTATGGCTTAATTATCTGATTAGAGTGGGACACTTTGAGCCGTGAATATTGCACCTTTTCACAATATTCTAATTTTCTGAGTTTGTGGATTTGGGGTTTTCATGAGCTGTAAGCCATAATCATCACAATGATGACAAATCACGGCTTGAACTATCTTGCTTTGCATGTAATGAGTCTATCTCATATATTAGTTTCACCTTTTAATTTGCATTACTGAAATAAATTAACTCTTGCACAATATTCTAATTTTTCAAGTTTCACCTGTATTTTAATTTCTGAATCACAATACTAATGAATTTTCGAATTTCTGAATCACAATACTAATGAATTTTTGAATCTGAAATAAATTGGAACAAAACGAATTATCCAGCCCTTAAATGTGGCAGAGCCTGTGGCACAGTAGTCAGTGTCAGGTGGAAGATGGACTGGGGAGGGCTGGAGTGTGGAGAATGGGAGGGGACCCCAGAGAGGGGAGCCTACCTACAGGCAGGATGCTGGAGAGGAGGACCTCCATTGCCTCAGCATCTCCAGAGGGAGGACAGTCTGTGCAGCAGGGAAGATGACAAAGATAACGCTACAGCCTAAAAAGTAACAAGTGTATTTTTTTTCAACCTGAGGAGACAGATCTGCCTCCTCCGTACAGTTGTGTTCAAAATAATAGCAGTCAGACATCACTAACCGGATCAATCACTGTTTTTGGTAGAAATGATATTTCTACATGGCAAATAATTTCCTAGCAGGTGTAGTAGAGTAATAGAAATCCAACATACCCAACAGTCATGACATGCATGCTGCTGATTCTGTGTCATTGAATCACTCATTGAAAAGGACATGTTCAAAATAATAGCAGTGTGGAGTTCTATTAGTGAGGTCAATCATTCTTTGAAAAACAGGTGGCAATTATTGCCCTTATTTAAGGAGGAAGGAAGGCAGCAAATGTTGTACATGCTGGTTACAGTGCATTTCTCTCTGAAATTCTGAGGAAAATGGGTCGTTCCAGACATTGTTCAGAAGAACAGCGTACCTTGATTAAAAAGTTGATTGGAGAGGGTAAAACATATAAAGAAGTGCAGAAAATGATCGGCTGCTCAGCTAAAATGATCGCAAATGCTTTAAAATGGCAACCAAAACCTGAAAGACGTGGAAGAAAGCGAAAAACTACCATTGGAATGTATAGAAGAATAGCCAAAATGGCGTGGACTCAGCCAACAATCAGCTCCAGGAAGATGAAAGAAGGTGTGACGTTCCCTGTGAGGACTGTTACAATTAGAAGACGCCGATGTGAAGCCAAGCTATCTGCAAGAAGCCCCCGCAAAGTCCCACTGGTGGAGAAAAGACATGTGCTGAAGAGGTTACAATCTGCCAAAGAGCACATTGACTGGCCTAAAGAGAAATGGCGCAACATTTTGTGGACTGATGAAAGTAAGATTGTTCTTTTTGGGTCTAGTGGGCGGAGACAGTTTGTCAGACGACCCCCAAACACTGAATTCAAGCCACAGTACACTGTGAAGACAGTGAAGCATGGTGGTGCAAGCATCATGATATGGGGATGTTTCTCATACTAAGGTGTTGGGCCTATTTATCGCATACCAGGGATCATGGATCAGTTTGAATCCATCAGAATACTTGAAGAGGTCATGCTGCCTTATGCTGAAGAGGAAATGCCCTTGAAATGGGGGTTCCAACAAGACAACGACCCCAAACACACCGGTAAACGTTCAACATCTTGGTTCCAGACCAACAAGATTGACGTTATGGAGTGGCCAGCCCAATCCCCGGATCTTAATCCAATAGAAAACTTGTGGGGTGACATCAAAAATGCCATTTCTGAGGCAAAACCAAGAAATAGAGAAGAACTGTGGAATGTGGTCCAATCATCCTGGGCTGGAATACCTGATCACAGGGGCCAGAAGTTGGGTGACTCCATGCAACACAGATGTACAGCAGTTCTCAGAAACAGTGCGACTACAACCAAATATTCATGAAGTCATTCAAAGGAAAGCAAAATCTTCAAACATTTCTCAGTTTATATAGTGAATGTTTGAGTTTGTAAAGAAGAATACAAACACTGCGATTTTTCTGAACCGTCTAATATTCACTTTTCTTCCATTTTTTTAGAGGAACAACACAAATTTGATGTATTTTTCTTCATGTTTTGATTTGGAATAGAATGTGTCGTGTTC